GAGAAGATGAATAGGTTGTTTAAGTAAATATTGATAATTAAAGATTGGGACTGAACATTAATCTGTGTCTTCTGAATTCCAGACCACTGTGTTTGCCACTGAATCATTAAACTCATTTATATTTATTGCAGCCTATAAATGAAAACTAATTTGTCAATAATTCTTTCATTTCTTTTAGTCTTCAATCTGTCACTCAATTACTACTTATCCCTATGCTCTATATTATTTGCACTTTACTACACCAATTGTATCAGAATAAGAACTGTCAAAACTGAAACAAAGAGGACCAAACTTGAATCATTGGTTCCTTCCACCTTTCAACTAGCAGGAAAAAAAAAAAAAAAAAAAAATATATATATATATATATATATTACTCTAAAGTAACATACTACAAAGAAAATTACTATAAACCTTGAGGCTTTGAATTAAGAATTTAAGATTTACTTTCTCTAAAGAACTTAATTTTGGAAAAGGCTATATCAATTTTATTTCGGGGATATACATCTATATAATTTTAAGAGAGGGCCTACCTAGAAAATGTAAATATTCCATCATGTCTAACACTTTTCTTTCTCCATTTGAATATTAATAAAAATCAAAAACACTGAAAACAAAAACAGGTAAAGTGATTAAATCACCCTAGATGAGGAGTCACCATTAAGGTGACATCCAGGAACTGGTCTGATACAGCTAGACTCAGTGCTGTTAGCTGCTTGCTTGGTGCTCACAGTGAGGCTATGCCATCTCCTGTTGGATCTAAGACCATCACAGAGAACATTAACAACAGACAAGGTCACTCTGAGACTGTGATAAAGTGAGATAAAGTGAAACACGGTCACAGCACAACCCACAAAATTCCAAACGTTCTCTTCTCTCAGCTAATATGAGTGACTGACACTTGTTCACCAATTATAGCAAGTTTTCCCTCCTCCTGGATAATTCATTAAAATACCCAGTCATAGATTTTCTTCCCCCATCTAGACATTCTTAAATCCAGAGCAAAGCTCCACTTCCTAAAACCCTCCTTGAAATCACCCAAAACAAGTCCAAACCCTTAATAAGTCTTTCTAACACCCTCTAACTGAGATGCCCCACAGTTTCCTATGTTAATTTTCCCTCAATGCCAAGAGTAACGAATCCAACTTGCTCAAGTACAAGTGTCATCCCGATGGACTTTGGCTATAGGGCGCTGACATAATAATAATACTGATACTTATACACCATTTGCTGTTTACCAAGTTATTTCCCTTACAGCATCCACAAGGTCCTCTCACAGTCCTGTGAAGTAGGTATGCTATTGTCCCCATTTTACAGATGAAGAGATTAGAATCAGAGGAGGAACACACATATTAAAAGGTGATACCTAAATTTAAATAAGTGTTCTCTTGTGGAAGTCCAAGTTCCACTACACCACATAAATGTATTATTAAATATACCCAGAAAATGTCCTGTAATTTTTTGGGGGGATGAGAACTAAAAATTTGGATATGGCCATTAGGAAAATCCATTCAATAGTAATGTATTGGATACTGTTAGTACAAAGTTGCACAGAGAGATAAACAGGCAATGAAAGAGAATTTCCTCATATATACTAATTAATACTATGGTGAATTTGATGTTTGATTAGGGATTGCAATGAAAGTTCAGAGAAAAGAGAAAACATGGACTGCCAGAAATTCTAAGTTTTGGGAGATAAGAAAAACAGACCACAAGGACCATTGGACATACACATACCTACACACACCCTTCCATAATATCACATTTAATTACTGGTATAGATGAGAAAGGGAGGAAAATGGGGTAACATTATGTTTATAATTAGTGAATGAGTCATAGTGGATCCCTCATGTTGCTCTGTATCTCTCGCCCACCTCCCTCCATCAACACTGGTATCGGTTCTTAGACATGATACACATTAGGAACTGATAACTCATACTAGGAAATACCTATCTACCCTTTCCTTTCTTTCCTCTCTCCTTATATGGATCCCAGGCAGATAGCTTTCCCTCACCTCAAAAGAAGTGAGAGAAAGTTGGACATGGCTAAGGAAAGTACATGATGAAAGTAGGATGTCATCTACTCTTAAGTTGATGTCAAAATTTGCATAAATAAAACATTTCATTATTTGATGTGAACAATACATATCAGTTCCACGTAGCATCCATTTCATTACGGTGGTTATATGTATTTCTTAAAAGTATGATGCTGGATGCTGTTCTGCTGTTCCAACGTGATCCCACACTAAAATATCACTGCCCATTACCACAAGGCTCATGGTCAGAGCTTGCAAAGTTGGTGAGTTGAGACCAAATTTGTTGTCAATTGTTTCTTCTGTTCTCCTCTGGTCTCCACCTGACAATCAGCCTAGCCAAGGGGAACCAAGTGTATAGGTCTTGGCCCGTTTTTTTCATTACTGATATAGTGCCTATCACATTTTTATACCTTAAGATGATGTCTCCGAGATCGCAGGTTGGATGGCTACAAGAAATGTAGGCTGAAATCACTGAGTTCTCAAATTATCCCCACTCACTGAAGTGGAGTGTCTACATGTGTTTATCAGAACTGCATTCAACTTTTCACATGCTTATGTCTAAATCCTCTGAAGAGATTACAAATTTCTTGAGATCAGGGACTATATATTCTTCTCAGTAGTATCTTACATCTTGTCGACACATGATGATGCTTTTATATATAGTGAAGGCACCTGAGTTTAGCTATAAGACTGTTAGTTTTAAGGAGAATTCCAAATGTTTGCACCGAATAAATCTTACATATTTCAAAAGCATAATGTCAAAATGTTTGGTAAAGTATAAAACCTTTCTTTATTTTTTTAAATCATAGCCATTAGAATTCCCTTTGAAATAGTAAGGAAATTGGGATACAACATGGTTAAGAGTTTTATATCTTTTGTGATACAACTAAATTCAAGAATGGAAATAACAGTCAGAAACAACATATAATTAAGTACCCAATATATATCCATAATGCTCACCTATGAGAGAATATGAGCTAGGCCAGTTTTACAAATAATATAAGCATAAATTTCCAAAATTAAAGAAAGACCTACACAAAAGAAAGACCTAAGTTTAACGGTCTTAGAGTGATTCCAATGACAGCGTAATACTGTAAAACACAACTAGCTTGAAAACACATGTGGTTACTACTTCAGTGATAAAACAACAATTATATCAACTTAGAAAAATGAGTTTTATCTGAATTCTAACAACTTCGCATCCCTATCTCTTGATTCCCAAGCATTTTACTCCTAGAAAGTTCATGGAAAGTAGACTACGAGAAACATGGTTGATAACATTTTAACTGATCAGTGCCATTCTTATCTTTATACCAATGGGGATTATCCGAGATAAAAGAAGCAATAAAAACTAACATATTAAAAGAGATTCTATAGTTAGCTATTATTTTTCTCCTTTCCCCACATTATCTATTTTTTCACATTCCACGGACAAATAAGAATGAACTATATTTGACTCTCTGTAAATGTCACAGCTCAGCAGTTAAAAAAACTCTAAAATTTGTATAAGCTTGCCCAAATCTTTGTAAAAAAGACAGGACATTAATATATATATGTGTGTGTGTCTATGTGCTTGTCTGTATGTTTATAGAGAGACAGAAATAACAAAACATAATTGACTTCATAAATAGATTTTCTGGGAGTGATTTGCAAATAAGGAATCATAATTTTGACTCCCTAATATTCATAATTATATGAATATTGAATTATACAAGTTATATTCATAATTCATAGAATTTATAAAATTCTAGGAGTAAATATAACTACTACATCTTTAAAAGTATATTCCTGATATAGGAACCTAGTAGTCTTTCTCCAAAGTAAAAGGGAACAAGCTCGTGAGATGACTGTTGCTTATCTACATTTTGGGGGATTTTCACAGTCTCAAGATGTTTTAGATACTTAAAATTTCCAGAGAAACTGAATCATTGCTTCATGACATAAGATATTACCTTGGGGAATTGAGAGTACAAATGGGACTGAATGTGAGCTGGATAACATGTTTGGAGCACATTGCCAGGATCTCAGCTATGCGGCTTGCATGCAGAATGGGCCAGTGAAAAAGTCTCCCAAGGAGTAGATCAATGGTTACTTATACTGGTCTTTGCCATTCTAGCCTTTGCCATTTCCCACTCATGTCTATCTCTACCTCTAGAACGTGCCTTGGCTAGTTCCTGGGAGATTCTATCAATTCTATGTGTGTATTTTCTCTCATAAGTTGCAAGCCCCTTGAATAAGATCAGTCTTTTTTCATTTCTTAGGTATTTGTTTTATGTTTGAATGTTTCAACAACCTAAATAACAGCATTATAAAGACTTCTCTCTATAATAATGCGTGAAGTTATCAAGTTCAGGTAAAATAGCATTGAAACATTTTAAAGGAAACTAAAATTTAGGATTATAAATATACTCTCCGAACAGACCATATAGTCTTCATAATCACGTGAAGTTATATGTCATTTATGAGCTAACCATCTTATGCATCTAAGAGTGAATCTATAAAGTCTGTATTCCTTACAAATATCTATCATTTCCATGCTTGATCAGTGGTGAATCCCCACTCCTTAACTGAATGAGTGTGAGACAATGACATCAGAAGGACTGACTCTAAAACAATTTCTCTAGTTAGAGTATCAAGGCAATAGTCAATCTTAAGTCTTTGGGGCTCCTTATAATTCTTCCAGGAGGGAAAACTGAGTATAGATAAAATCTTAGTGGAAATAATTAATATACATATTTATAGAAACCAAAGAAAGGTGAGCTTTCGTACTCAGTCAAGGAAATATCATAAACCATTGCATATGATAGAATCAAGGAAAGTACCCAGTTTTAAGCAAGAAATAGTAACCAAAGGACACATTTTCCAGTGTGACTGAATAAAGGTTGTACTCGTACTATTTCCTACATATACCAGGGACCACATATAAAGGACACAAATACAAAGTTCACCAAATGCAGAATATGCTCACCTGGGCACAGAGCAATATTACAAGGCTTATGATGTGTTTCAGGTCCTTCACACGGCCTTCCTCCATACTGAGGAGGTGTGCATGACCTTGTTCTTGTTCTTTGGCCTCGACCACATGTAAATGAACATAAACTCCATGGTGACCACTCCTCCCAAACTCCATGTACTGTAATAAAGCAAAGAAGCTTCAACAACAAAAGCAGAGAGGTAAAGTCAAAGATTCTTTTTCTTAATTATAAAGAAAAAAAATCATCAAATAGACAGTATGAAGATATTTTAAAAGCTCAGTTAACATTCTTATTTGCCAAAAAAATCAAAGGTTAATTTGAAAATTTATTAAAATGACACAAAATGACATGTACTTTTTTTCTGTATTAGAACAGTTGTCATAAACTTTAAATGTTTTCTTTTTTAATGGAAATGCACCTCTCTTCCTCACAGTAAAATAGTCATGATTTATTTTTAAATACAAATAATATAAACTTAAAAGGTAGTATAGAAAACTAAATTTCTTATAACAGGTTTGATCATCTAGAGTTAAATTTGCATTTAAATATATAAGGGCCAACGTAATTCTTAAAATTTCAGGACTAATGACTTTGATGTCAAAAAATTAAAAAAAAATCTGAAAGTTAATGGTCCGTATTTTAAATAGCTTATTAACTTCACATTTTAGAAAATAAATATATTTTTGCCATTTAAAACATATGGGTGTTCAAAGTCACTGTCTTTGAATAAGACGAAAATTTCAAAAACTCTATCTACTCGCATAAAATTCTCCTCTTTGCCCTCTTTTAAAATGAGTGGCAAATATGAAGATTTCTTTCTTCTTGCAATAACTTGATGCACTGGAAATCCTCCTAATAAATAAAGGTTTTTAGAGAAAGCAAATGATCTAATTAGGATTACTCCTAACATAAGTATACATATGTCAATACTTCAATTATGCCATTATGATGGATTCAAACTAATCGGAAATATTAACATAATTTGTGTTCCTCCATAAAAGCCATGTGAATACATATTGACATCTTTTGCATAAAGCCCATTAGAATTGAGAGTTTAGATCCCTTCTTTGCCACAATCAATCACCAGTCTCATCCCAAATTTTAATATTTGGGATAGTAAGGAATAGCACTCTGTGGATAATACAAATAAAAAGAAGCTGGGCAAAATGTGCTCTTTGGCTCAAAAGCTCCTGTCTTGATGTTGAACCTCTGGTCTTAGTATGCTTTTAGAAGTTCATGAGCAGAAGTCTGATAGGACACCCACTAGAATGAGGAGGGGGAGTAGAAATTTAGAATGGATGATGAAAAAGATTTCACTTTCTCCTTGACATAGGTAGTCGTAAGCAGAATCCATATTAAGTGTCAGAGGAGTTATGCGAGTAAATACAGTATATCTAGAATGTTTTGCATGTATATGCAAACCAAGTTGTTTCTTTAAAAACACGTATATGATACTTTAATTATGAGACACCCCATTTTCTTCTATTTATGCTATTGATTTGCCCCAGCTGGTTGTGAAAATATATTGAAATATTGAAAAAGTTAGCCAAATTTGTGTAATACTCAGTGAAAAATTCTTCAGGTTTCTGAGAAAGTTGCTGGAAAATATATTTTTAAAATATTACATAGAAAAAAAGTAAGAGAGTGAAAGAAATTAATATGTTTATATTTTTCTCATTTAAGTTTGGAAACCAAAGCCACTTTGTATCTATTGGCATAAGATTAAATAATGAGTCTCTATTTAACTCTAAGGAAAAAAAAATACGCACATACCTATATTTACATATAGGTATATATGATCAATGATAGCAAAATATTTTTAAAATATTATATATGAATGTATTTTGTCATATAAAACACATATCTTTAATTTTTGCATTTATTTTTAATTACCAAAATTTCTCCATTTAAAAACAAACTTTTCTTCCCTTGTTGTCTATATAAAGTGTTAAAAGACCATATTGCATTCATATGGCTGGTTCTGTTAATTTTCTCCTCAATCAAATCACACTGCTCTGTATTCTTTGAACAAAGCCTGAAAAAAGGCTGCTAAATTGGCAGATTTTTCTCTATTAATCTCAAAGAAGTGTTGATTAATCTTGACAGTTTAGTTAAATCATGAAGCTGGAGTCCTCTGAAAAGTATGTTACTCCCTACTTTTTAACACTCTATTGTTCCATGGTGAAATTTCATGCCTCCTCCACATCATTTAAAAAAAAAATACTCCTTTTTTTGAAAAAGAAACAAAATTATTAATAATATTTTATTTTAGATATTATTGAATTAGTTGGAAACTATAAAACATCTTATAATTTTATAGATGCTATTCATAAGATTTATGTTAAAGAATAAAGATATTTTTACTTTAGCGGCAAATTTTATATAAATTCTTTTACCTTTCAGTAAAGTATGAAAATCTGTAAATAATCTAGTTCATTTGGAAAATGTGCCTGATAAAACCAAAAAACAAATCAAATTAATGCACTTTTATAGTTTCCTTCTTTACTTAGACACTAGCTGTAGTACCACATCCCTACTCTGTGCTGTCTAAAGATGAAATGAGGAATATACAATATACAAATTATGTTACTACCAGATTTTGAAATAAGCATACAAAATACCTTATAATTTACATTGGGATGTATAAAATAACTCCTTTAAGTGAAAGGTTTTTTTCTTAAGAAATATATAAATGTGGATACTGTGACATTTATTTAAAAAAAAAAAAATTGAAACCATTCCTTAGCCCAAATCAACTTCTAAAGGATTAGAAGAAATATAGAGTAGACCAGTGGCTCTCAACCATGGGCAATTTTGCCCCCCAGAGGACATTTGGCAATGTCCAGAGAAATTTTTGATTTTCACAGCTCAGGGGAAGGAGGGATGCTACTGGCATCCAAGAATGCTCAGGCCAGCCTCCCACAACAAAGATTTATCCATGTCAAAATGTCAATAGTACCGAGGTTGAGAAACCCTGGAAGAGATCATAAAACTGTAAGTCAGAAACCAGGACAGTAAATACACAATTTAATGTAGCTCTCTACTTTCTCAGTTTACTTGCTACTTAACCCTATCATTTTCTGCTCTGAGTAATAAGAATTCTTGAAGAGACTATAATATCAAAGTAACAATTTGCAAAAGGCTGGATGTCTTAGGATCCATATCAGAAGTAACACATTATTATGCAATTTAATTAAGAAAACCCTTCTTTTGAAATTAGAATAATACGGGTGAAAGGCAACTAATTTATAACAATATTGACTAGGCTTTACTAGGGTAAATAAATATAAGCTCAAATTCTACCATTCCATATATTTTATGGAAAGTGGCTTTGACATTCATTTTGTCCTTGTGTCATTTTCATTAATTAAATGCCAAACACACTTGAATATCCACAGTGTGACAACTAGGTTATTGATTTCTGAGCTAATTTTCTTCTTGGGAATTTAAAGTATTATTTTAGAAAGGTATTTACACTGTTTAGGTACTATTTAAGTTTTTTAATTCACGTTTGGTTACTGTTTTCATGATATATTATATCAAAAAAGTACATATTTATCAGCATGGCAAGTAACTGAACAAAATATTGAACACAAAGTATTTCATAACAAATACAATAACCATCTAAAAGGTATCCCAACTTCCTATAGTGAAATATTTATTCTACATTTTTTAAAATAACAAAGTTGCTAAATTAGTGTTCGGTTTTAAAAAATTAAAAAGAAATCAACAAAACTCTCCATTCTCTTAAATTCAACAGCTGAACTATAACAATGATTAAAAGACACATTTTTTCTTATCGTCAGTACTATTTAACCAAATTTAGAAAGACAAACCTATAGTATACGAAGGTCAAGAGGAACTCATGATTAGTGTGTATTTCTTCAGTAGGTATAATGGTAGGAGGTTTAAGAAATTGAGGACAAACCTCACAATCACAATATTATTCAGTTTTCTAAACGTCAGACACAGAGTGAAAGGGAGGGCACTCTGGTCCCACTACAGATGCTCTCCTTGCCCAGGGAAGGGATTAATCAGCAGTCTCCAGAAGATGGAGGTTTCCATATGTCAACCATACGAATGTGCGTAACAAGTGGCTGGAATGTAAGGACTGAACGGAGGATTGCAGGGAACACTTCAGCACCCTCTCAGACTTCCACTTGGGGATCCATTTGCCATTAGATTCTACCCGTGTATATTGAAGGGAACTTGATTTTTCAGAAGGATGCTGACAAGACAAATGTATATTTCAAGCACAGCTTACTTCTCTATTGACACTTTTCTCATTGTCCAGGATAGGAAGCTTGATATTGTAACCAAGGGCCAGCTTTAAATATGAGACAATGTACTCTCCCCACACCCAGCTGGAAATCCACAACCATTTTACTCATGAGGCAATTTTAGCTACAAAATTTAGAAATTTGGTAATTCAGAAAACTTTCAGCTCATTTTCTCTTGCCTAACAGACCTAGAGTCTGCTTGCTCTCTAACCACTGGTTTTGTCATCTTTTTTCATTGTCCTCCCCTTCCAAGACCTCTGTAAGCACTCTTTCCCTCTGATTTTTTTTTTTTTCACTTGATGTTCCTTCTCATCCAGTTTAATTCCCACTGACTCACGCTGACTTGATTTTTCTTGCTTTCAGTGGAAATTACTGCTGCTTCCTGCTAATTCTGTCTTCCCTTCCTCATGGTTTTCTGCCCTGTTTAGCTTTTACTTCTACCTTAATGTGCTACTCTGTATCTCCCAATTCCATTATAAAGGGATTTCCCATCTCATGCATCAGCTCTCCTCCACATTCTGCCCACCACTTCCTTTCCCTTTTGTTACTTCCAGATTGTCTTTTCTTTTATTGTGATAAAAAATACACAACAGAAAACTTATCATCTAGACTATTTTAAGTGTACAATTCAGTAGTGTTAAATATATTCCCATTGTTGTAAAACAGGTCTCCAGAATTTAGTCATTTTGCAAATCAAAACCCTGTACCCATTAAACAACAACTCCTTCACACTGTCTTTTAATGGGTTGCCCTTGGTCATTCTGCTGGGAAATTGGGATTATCCCTGCCCTTCCCCCATGCCACCCACTCTCTACTCTTACTTTTAGCAATTGCAAAATCAGCCATCTCTGGAAATGGAAATCATCAGAAAACTTTTACGCACAATTTAGCAGACGAAAAGCTGCTGCAGTGCCAATCCCTCTCCTTATGCCTGCCCCCTTTTGGAGGCCCCTGGTGGATGCAAGTCCAGTGTCAACGGCAATGGTCAATAAGTTTGTATCACCCATCCACCAAATAGTTGAACAAAAATATAAACCTGGAGATACACAATATCATATGCTTTAGACTTCTTGAAAGAAAGCCCAAATTCCTTTTAGTACTCCTTTTTACATGAAAATCAGTAACTTAAGGAGAAATGCCTGTAATATGCATGCAGGCCTCCAATGAGAACAAAATGATGACAGCCGGAAAATCTCACCCTACCCGGGCAAGATACTGTGCTGTGCTCCATTTAACATTGAAGATTTTTTTCCCCATTAATGACTTTAAAGTTTACAATGCACTGGATGGCTCGGATGAGGATAGTCACTTGAATGAAATAAATTAACAGAATGTCCTTTGGTCAGGGGAACTATTTTCTTTGATAAGTAAGTAAAACAACTGACTAAAGACTGCATCAACCGCTGCCTTAAACAATGAGTACAGATCCCATTTCCAGTATGTCTGCAAGGTTACGTTTCCTCAAACATTCAGTTGGACATTTTGCCACCTGAAATAAGGAAAGCTGTTATAATCATAAATATTATTAGAAGCAGATACAGAAATTTCTCCAGAAAATTCATTAGGGGAGTCACTTATGTAATTTCCTGACTGCTCTGAGAGCAGAAAGCATCCCATATATGGCAAAATTTCACTGTTGAAAATGAGTTAAACTTATCCACTTTAATCAAAATGTCTCTACCCATTTCATAGGAAAATAACAGATCTTTCCAAATGCGGAGCATGACACAATTCAATAACATCCACAGTTGTAGTTGCTGCTAACACTACCTGGACAGAGGGCAGTGTTATTGCAAACCCTTGATTCTCTTAACGGGCCGCTGCAGTGTGTCCCGTAAGGTGATACGCAAGTTCTGGTTCGCACCTGCGACCCTTGACCACAAGTAACTGAGCACGTGCTCCACTGGGACCACTCCTCCACACCAGATTCACCTGGATGCAAGACAACAAATAAACATGAAATACTGCTTTGAATATTCACCCACTAAGCATCAGACCAAACTGACGTTATGACATGCAAGATAATTTAAATGTAAAAACATGACATTACATCAAAAGGCACAAGGAAACATCTCAGAGAAAAATACATTTAAAGGGAGATACATGTGACACGGGTGCGAGGTCCAAGTTGGTTATAACCTTGTTAGCAAAACTACTCTTCACAAAGACACTGTACTGTAGACACTATGAAGGGACCAGTCAGCATTTATCAACAACAATGATTGCTGAAGGGATTCTCCTCAAGCCAATCTGAGGCTTTGTCCTTCGGACGGGAGAGGAAGCAAAATGTATTGCTAAACTTACTCCGGCTTTGGTGAGCAGGAATATATTGATGGGTTCTTCCCTAATCCTTTACTGTGTAGCCTCCTTTCTCATGCTGGATGAGGTGGAGCCCTGGGAGTTTGGGCATATCTAATTTTTATAGTGTTAAACACTGTCACTTATTTATAATTGATTCCTAGTGCAGTTCTTATTTTTTCATCCTATGACAGCTATTTATTTTGTGATCATTTGTTTCAAAACCTGCTCAGAATTTTCTTCATGATCTAGAAGAGTGAGTTTTACTCAAAATGAAGGAAAATTTCCCTATGATTTCTATTAATTTATTCAAAATAAGGCCCTAAAAAGCCAAGGAATGTCTGAATTCCATTAATTGTCTCAGAGTAAGCATCACACTAAAATTATGTCTGGTTTCTATTATTATCTAAGTCATGTACCAAAAAGACTTAAAGTCAAGAATTTCTAAGACCATCACAATGGACTTCTGATTCTATTCTGACATCATGTTCAGGATAGATTTTTAAAACTGATTTGAAAACTTGGCAGTTGCTTTTCCCTAAATACAAAACTGGGCCATTTACCTGCTGGCAGGAAGAACTTAAGTTAGTTATTTGGTTGTGGGAAAGGTTTGCAGGTGAATTGTTTCTGAATACTTTGCATCACTGATTATATAAACCAAGGAACAATTTATATCATATAAGTTCTGTTTAGACTTTGCCTTTGAAACAGAATTCAAAAAAAAAAAAGAATATGATGATCTGTTTGCCCATCGTTTTTTTTTCTTTTGAAAGGTTAGTAAATGACTTAGACATTACTTGCAGGGCTACTCAAGATAGCTGGTCCATAGGCTGGTACTCCAGGACACAAGGAGGTTGAACCAGAATGTAACTCAATTTGCTGATTTCTTCACTGAGAATTTCTTTTTTCCAAACAAACAAAAAAGTTAGCTGAAATAAAACATGTGCTTGATAAAGTAGTTGAATTTATTTTCTGGTATAAGCTTCTTATCTCCTCAGGGGCCCATAAAAAGTAGTTCACAGATAAGCATAGGTCCACCAACCACAATTTGGGTTGCACCATTATAAAGATCTGGTCTTATATTGGGATGCATTATGCACCCAGAGGCATAGATTATAAGGCATTTATGACTAGATATATATCATAAGGGCACAGACAGTGGTTACTGGGATGATGTATTACATTAAATAGGACTTTTTTTCAGTGTTGGATCAGTGTTTGTCCTGAAAGTCCTCTATAGATTTCCCTTGATTATTTTAGTCTTTTTGCCTTCACCAATTTATATTTAAGTACTTCATAAAAATGTTATTGGATAACCATTTGAATTACATTTAAAGGCAGGTTGCATAATTTGTTCTTTTATATTAAAGAATACTCTAAAAATTAAAAATCATTATCTAGAACCCAATAATATGGCAATGGTCAAAAAAATATCCACACATATATGTATATATGAACATATACATTTAGGGATGAAGAATTTAAGCGTAAAGTTAGGAAAAATATAATGCAAAGCTTTTTCTTTTGATATTTCAACCCTTGTTGTGATGAGAGTAAGTGGAGTAGAAATATTATGGTTGTATGTTATTAATTAAGAGCTGGAAAACCTTGAACAATGTAAATTCTATAAAAGTGATAAAGGTTATGCATAAAAGTGTTATATTTTTCCACAAAAGCAGTCCTTCTCTTACCTTTGCATTGTTATGATGGCATTAAAAATGTTTTTATTAAATTGAGCAATGAATCAGGATCAAGATCTATTTTTAAATGTATTTCTGCACAAATATTTAAAAATCTGGGTTGCTTCTGAATGTATACTGTAATGATGTTCAACAGGCTAAGCAGTGATGCGTAGATCCTAAGAGATTGATAATTAGTGCTCAGAATTGGCCTTCTTCACTGGCTCAAATTTATGGTTCATTTTGTTGATCAAAAACAAAATAAATAAATGAATAAAATACATATTGGTTTTCACATTATGAATCAAATTTTGCCACTCAAATACCAGCCTACCTACCAAAATGACCTCATTATACCTCAAATGGTATAGTTTCAGGTAACATTTGCACTAATAATGATTTCCATGCTGCCACTTCTTAATTCAGAAAAGTGTGAAGACTATTCTGGTCCAGCACTTTGGGTGACTGTGAGAAATAGCTCATATACTTTATAAGAAAGAGATGCATATTTTTAAAAACTCACTGACATTAGAATAGTTAAGTACAATACAAAGTATACTGTTTTTAATATGTGTGTCTTTGGAAATAGCACGAACTACTCTGGTTCCTTAACTTGTAACAGAGAAGGCACATAAACATGGCATAGAACGCTTCAGTATCTGAGGCACTTTTAAGACTATTTATCCTGACACGAAACATGAAAGTGGATTGGAAAAGCACTGTAATTAAAGTCAGAGGACCTGTGTTTGATGCGAAGCTACTGAATATTAGTTCTGTGACCTTGAGAAAGTCACTTTATTTCTCGGAACCTCTCAATAAAATGGGTAATACATCTACCTCAAAATGCATGTGTGAGGATTAAATGAGATAATGTATGAGAGTGCATTTTAAATTGTAAAAAATATTAATATAAATTTTTGCTAGTATGTTAAAATCATTAAACTAGAAACATACTTCTAATTTTATATTTCTGTTTTAGATAGGATAACATGCTATCCTTTACTAATATAGGCTATTTTCCCCACTGGAATACAGGACCACTTTTCTAAACATGTTTATAAGATCATTTGATGACTATGATGTTAAAAAGCACTAGGGAGTGCAATTAAATTGTCTTAAAGCCATCTTTTGGCATTTAATTTGGATGTCTATATTAAGTATCTGTATCTTACCACTTCATTTCATTTCTCTTTACCATAAATATAAATTGTGTCCTAGGCTATTGGAACACTATTTATATTTAAACTAGCTTATCTCAATTATTGAACTGACCAAAATGATTAAGTTATTTTGATAAAGTAACATTATTTTACCAAACGTTACTCTTTTAAAAACAATTTCCACTCATGTTATTACTTTACAGAAAGCTTGCTTTTCAGATAGAGGGTTTACTGATCATATTGGTTGAAGAGGCCAGCTTATTCATTTTGAGAAGTAATTCTTAATTATAAAGGCTTATAGGGGGC